GCACTACCAATGTAAATTATAGAGTTTATAATGAGTTGAGAGATTTCATTGATATTATGAATAATTATTATAGTAGAAGTTGTTCTAAAATACAATATTAATGGCTAACTGTGCATTTGACAGAAAGGTGTCAATTATGCCAGTTAGATGAAAGACTAAGTGCCTTTGAGGCCTAATTGTGCATTTGACAGAAAGGTGTCAATCATGCCAGTTAGATGAAAGACTAAGTGCCTTTGAGGCCTAACTGTGCATTTGACAGAAAGGTGTTAATCATGCCAGTTAGATGAAAGGCTAAGTGCCTTTGAGGCCTAACTATGCATTTGACATAAAGGTGTCAATCATGCCAGTTAGATAAAAGACTAAGTGCCTTTGAGGCCTGACTGTGCATTTGACAAAAAGCTGTCAATCATGCCAGTTAGATGAACGGTTAAATACCGTTGAGTAAAAGATTTAGGTCCTAGTTATGCACTTGATAAAAATGTGTCAATCATGCCAGTTAGATAAAAGGTTAAATGTCTTTGAGTAAAAGACTAGATATATAACAGTGCATAATGTTGTATAAAAGGCATGAAAGGATGCCATAATTGAAATGCATATGGGTTCATTATCGGCATGAAATGATGCTATAATTGAAATGCATATGGGTTCATTATAGGTATGAAAGGATGTCATAATTGAAATGCATATAGGTGTGTTATCGACATGAAAGGATGCCATAATTGAAATGCATATGGGTGCATTATAGGCATGAAATGATGCCATAATTGAAATGCATATGGGTGTAATATCGGCATGAAATGATACCATAATTGAAATACATATAGGTGCATTATCGGCATGAAAGGATGTCATAATTGAAATGCATATGAGTGCATTATAGGCATGAAAGGATGTCATAATTGTAATGTATATGGGTGCATTATTGGTATGAAAAGATGCTATAAATGAAAAGGCATGATGATGCATTATAAATATGAATGGATGTTATCAATGAAAATAATGAATAATGAATAAAGAGAAAAATAGATATGGGCGTAATATCGGCATGAAATGATACCATAATTGAAATACATATGGGTGCATTATCGGCATGAAAGGATGTCATAATTGAAATGCATATGAGTGCATTATAGGCATGAAAGAATGTCATAATTGTAATGTATATGGGTGCATTATTGGTATGAAAAGATGCTATAAATGAAAAGGCATGATGATGCATTATAAATATGAATGGATGTTATCAATGAAAATAATGAATAATGAATAAAGAGACAAATAGAAAAGAAAAATATAAAGGAAGATATGTACACTAGGCATACTAAAAATAATTAAGATAATTGTAAATGGAATATGGTTTAAATGAGAGAGATTATATGATCCTTAAAGAATATATGATTTAGTACGAACTAAATAAATATAAAATACCTATGTATACACAAAGGTTACTTTACAATATTATGTCTCACTAAGTAAATACTTAACGTGTGTTGTTTTTCACGCGTAAGTAAAAGTTGAGACAAATTAAATAATGAGTGCAACAGTAACAGCATATATCATCTGTTAAGGTTGAATCTCAACAGTAACGATAGGGCAATCATGTTTATTTTTAACAACTACTGGCATGTAATCAAATTTAAAGAAAAATACTTTGTAATGTATATAAAGTTGACATTTCAGTAGTATATTTCGATGATTGTTTTATGATTGTGCTAAAATGTTTTAATTTAAATTTTGAAACAAACTTTTAAGGGTTTTCAAAAGATAAAACTATTTTAAAGTAAGGTGACATCCATATGTCATATACGGAAAGGTATACGGGAGATGAGTGTTACATAACCTAAACACATTGTCAAGAAATACACATTTTAGCTTTTATCTCACATTGTCAAGAAACATATCCTAAACACTCCAATATGCATATATAAGTTAACTCCAATATGCATATATAAGTTAACCCCATTAAGCTCTTCAACTCATGGAACTAATGTGTATCAAATTACGATATTAGTCCCTATAATTTTATTTTTTTAAATTTTTTAAAGTATATTTTTTAAAATGCTTTTAGAGATGATGTAGACCTATAGAAGGTGCGCTTCATGATATGTGACTTCTGTATATGTTAGAGGTTTAGCTAAGGCACAGATGATGATCCGCACATTTCATTACGTGGCGCTAGCTCGGACAAAACCCGGTGAACGCGCGAATAATAATCTGTGACTTGTCAGAAAGGTGTTAAATCAGTAATATTAGGATAAAAGTGTCTAACAGGTAATTATTACTCGTACAATTGATATTTTTGTAAGATCGTCTCACGCAAGTGGGAAAATGACACGTCAAGAAATTAGCTCAAAAGAATAAAAGTCAACTGTTTCATGCTGGCAACAACTTTCTTCTCACTCTACTATAATTAATTAACAATTCTTATTAAAAAACACTAACTAATTAATTAATAATTAGGTAAACTACACGGAAACCATTAAAATATGATAAAAAATTATTTTGACAACCAACGTTTCAATTGAATCAATTATATCACTTAACTATTTAAATTGTTCAATCAAGCCATTGACTGTTAATTTTTAACGGAGGTGATGACATATCAGTTAACAAAATTGATATAATTATATATTTAGTCTCTATTACTTATATATTATATCAATTTAGTCTTATATTTAATAAATTAAAATAAATTTAATCTTTAAATCAAATTATGCCACATTTCACTCTATAGTTGAAAGAAAACAAACCACACATAAGTAAGGCCAATGGAATTCAATCCAGGGTGGTGTAGGTTACCAATCGTCCAGTAAACCAACAAGCCAAGGAAACTTCTTGGTTTCAAAAATGACTATGTTGTATATATTAGATATCATTTTGTATTAATAATTAACTTGATTTTATAATAATTTATATATTTTTTAAAAATAATTTATATACTTTAAATTTAAAAAAAATTATTTATATGTTAACTTATTAAATAAGTTTTATTATCAAATTACATTAAAATATATATTTTATTCTTATTTTAGCTTTAAAATATTTTTTTATTTTTATCTAACTTAAAAATATATTTTATATCATCTTAACTTTTAAAAATATAATTTTATTATCATTTTAACTTTTAAAGATTTATTTTATTCTTACTTTAAATTATTAAATATGTTTTATTTATATATTAACATAAAAAAAATTTTAATCTTATTTTAGCTTAAACAGTATACTTTATTATTGTCTTAACTTAAAAAATATATTTTATTCTTATTTTAACTTAAAAATGCATATTTTATTCTTATCTTGATACAAAAAAAATATATTTTATTTTTATCTTAATTTAAAAATATTTTTAACATATATTTAATAAGTTAAGTAAGAATAAAATATATTTAATAAGTTAATGTAATAATATATATATATATATATATATATATATATATATACAGAATATATTTAAATTAAGACAAAATAAAACATATTTTTAAAATAAAAGATAAGAACAAAATATATTTTTTAGTTAAAATAAAAATGAAATATAGTTGTAAGTTAAGAATAAAATAAATATTTTTAAATTAAAAATAATAATAAAATAAAATTAAGTTTAGAATAAAATATATTTAATAATTTAAGATAAAAAATAATATTTTTTAAGTTGAGAATATAAAATATTACGAAATTAAATTATTTATACCGTAGGATACAAATTATATATAACATATTGTCAAATTAAAATCAACGTTAGTCTTGGCTTAATGGTTTAGCCCTTGTTCTCCTTCCCAAACGACCATATATCATGTCCCATTGTTAGCAATTTCCATGATTTATTTTCTTTCAACCTCTTAAAATAAATATATTAATTTAAAATAAATTAAATTAATTTTAACCCTTACACGTGGTACTGTTTGATTTTAAAATTAAATTTATTTTATTGAATTAAAATAAAGATTAAAATAATAGAATATATAAATATTAATGACTAAATATATAATTATTACTATTTTATTAACTGACATGTCATTACATCAGTTAAAAATATAGTTTGGTGATCTGATTGATTAAATTAAAACGTTTGTGGTCAAAATGATTTTTTATCATAGTTTAGTGGTACTCCTTGTAATTTACCCTAACATTATTATAGATCTGACGTTTTGACCCGACTTTCCCCATCTGTGCAAACATTTGTTAAGACCAATTTAACCCGCGATAATCAGATGAAGACAAAATTAGAAGTAAATCAATGTTCCCTCCACCAAAACCCTAGATTATTAAAATTAAGATATTTCAATAAATAAAAAGCAGATGACAGCTTAGTCACGAAATTTGACCATAAGTCCACCCTTTCCGTTTATAAACGACACTTCTCTCTTCACTTACTTTTCACTTTTTTGTTTCTTTGAATGGTTTTGTTACTGATATGGCTACCGAGTTGATTACGAGTTACAGAAATAGCAACGGTTTCACATCCAAAGTAGAAGAAACCGCTGTTCAAGAAGCTGCTTCCGGACTTCAAAGTGTCGAGAAACTCATTAGATTACTCTCTGAGACTCGTAATAATCGATCTTCTGCAATCTCAACGAGATCCTCCATGGATTTAGAAATGGACTGCAAAGTTGCAGCCGACGTTGCTGTTTCCAAGTTCAAGAAAGTTATCTCTCTTCTGGGTCGAACCAGGACTGGCCATGCCCGTTTTAGACGAGCTCCGATCCCGCCTTCTGCTACAAATGCCATTGTTAACCAAGAGCAGGAAACAAAGATTTATTACCCAACGCCGATCAAGCAGATTCCACCGCCGGTCACTGCTTACCATCATCATCATCATCATCAGAGTGGGGGTTTAGAGGGGAAAGATTCATCAACAACCATCAATTTGTCATATTCTTCAGCTGGGAATTCGTTTATGTCATCACTGACTGGAGATACTGATAGCAAGCAACCATCTTCTTCATCTGCGTTTCAAATCACTAATCTTTCTCAGGTCTCCTCTTCTGGGAAGCCTCCTCTGTCTACTTCTTCTTTGAAGAGGAAGTGTAGCTCTGAGAACTTGGGTTCCGGGACTAAATGCAACGGCTCTTCTGGTCGCTGCCATTGCTCTAAGAAAAGGTACATCATATATTCATACCCATCATACAAAGTTATCAATTTTAGAGTTCTCATTATGTTGAATTTCTTACATGAGTTGGGGTGTGTTTTCATGTTTGGTCTTGGACAGAAAGCAGAGATCGAAAAGGGTTGTAAGGGTTCCGGCGATAAGCCTGAAGCTGGCTGATATCCCACCAGATGATTACTCATGGAGGAAATATGGTCAAAAACCAATCAAGGGTTCTCCACATCCCAGGTACAAAATAAATCACTCTTTCCTTCTTTAAACAAAGTCGGTAGTTTGAGATCAGTTTCTAACATGTTTTGTTTGTCTGGTTTTGAATCATAATTGGAACAGGGGTTACTACAAGTGCAGTAGTGTAAGAGGATGTCCAGCTCGGAAGCACGTGGAACGAGCATTAGATGATCCATCGATGCTAATTGTTACTTATGAAGGCGACCATAATCATTCACCCTCTGTTGCAGAAACTAGCAATCTCATCCTAGAATCTTCATAGATCAACTTGATTTCTCGAACATTTCCCTGTAAAATATATGCCAAAGCTTTCTTTAATTGAAAGGAAGAAAAGAAATGGTAGATTTGGCATTAGATTTTGCAATTTCAATGCCATCTTTTTCAATTCATTTACTTTTAATCTCTTTCCCTTTGGATTCTTGTTCAAAGATGAGATGCCTATTACTATTAAATTCGTGGTTCCCCTTTCAATATTGGATTTTAACACTGTAGATGCATGAATTTAAAGTTTGCATGATGACTCAAAAGGAAAGTTAGGGCAAAGTCAAAATGGGTTGGCGGAGAATCCATAAATTTGTGGCCTTCAAGGACGGATTGGGACCCAACGTATTGTTCATAATTTTGTTGTGTGCCTTTGCCTTTGCCTTTGCTCAACGTCAACCTTGGTCCCCAATGCCCTTCATTTATTAACATTGGCATGTGGTGGATTGGTTCATTCAAAGTTATTTCAACCCCTAAAACCAAAGCCAAAAAAACAAAAACAAATATGTCTACTTATAGTGGAATTGTTTGACTCCATCTCAATTATTTGAACTAATTTATTAACGTGTCTTGGATCTATCTTTAGAGTCTATTTAAATATATATATATAAATCTTATAGCTTTATGAATTATTAAAAGAGTAAATCGCGGTTGCAATTGGTCTTTTCACAATCCGAAAAATTTAACGACTTTAACCTACAATCTAAGTTTAGGGATAAACACCCTTAACAAATAGACCAAACGTTTGGTTCTAAGATGAAGTAATTGATTGTATGTTTTTTACTACGTGTCTAAAATATTCTCTATTTCACTTTATTTTATTTAAAAGAAAGGTTGTATATTGAAAACACAAGAAAAATACAGATATTTTTTTACTTGAAAATGGTTATTTGAATTATTACATAAAAATTAATTTTAATATAATGTTCTTATTTTGATAAATTCACACGTATCATACATATAATCAAGGATGGTCTTGGGTCAGGTCGAATCTTTTGTGAATCTAATCCTTATATGAATGATATGCACTTTCACTTATTACTTGACATGACACGAGTTTAGTAAATCTCCTCTCAATTTGATTTCTGAGAGTGAAAAACCGATCCAGCCTGAATTAATTTAACAACATGATCAACCTAAATTAATTTCTCATATTTTTAATATAAAAAAGTAAAAAAAATAAATAAAAAAACACAATTCTAACAAAAATAAATGAGTTTAAACTTCAAACATAAGTAGTTTGCTATGTTCAAGATTATGTAAACCAACTCAAATGAAGGGTTTGACTCGGTGATATTTGTGTGCTCATCTTTACCTTAGGACATAGGTTTGATCATCTCCTCTCTCATTTCTTTGTAATTTGTTTTTTCTTAATCTTACGGTGAAATATTATATTAAACAAATTAAAATTATAAAAAAATTCTCCAATCAAAGGGTGATATGTTTTATCATATGATTAGAGGATTAAATTTATTAAATTAAATTAAAATTAAGACTAATTTGGTAGAATATGTAAGTGTTAAGGATCAAATGAGCAATTATACTATTTTGGTTAACTACTATGTCACATTTTCTGTTAAATATTAACGACAATTGGCTTGATTGACAACAAATAAATAATTGAGGTAACCTGATTGATAAAATTAAAAGATCGATGGTCAAAATTAAGAAAAGATAATAATTAAATAGTCATTGATATAGTTTACCCAACATTTTACATATATCTTATTTTAGATGTTTTGTTAGTGATTTTCACTCTTGAACAATAATAGTCAATGGCAGATGCACCCCTTTGTAAGGGTAAATATTAAAATTCGAACCTTTTTAATATTTATTTTAAAATTTTATTTATGATTATTATATACAAAAATTTTGTGTTATTAACAAATATATGTTTATTATTAAAAGTATTTTTGGATATGTCAATGATAATAATCGTTTGTATATGAGATATATTTTTTTAATAAATCTTTGGTGAATATAAGTAGAATTGTGCAAAAAGATCTGATCTGATTGATCTAATATGAAAATTTGGATATCCGATCTATTTTTTTATTTTTGGATAATTCGAATCGGATATCCAAAAAAAATTCAGATAATCAGATCAGATACGAATCTGATAAAATTTCAATTTTGGATTATCTAAAAATTTGAAAAAAAAATGGGCTTTTAAATTTTAGATACTCTTTAGCCCAATAAATGAATAACCAATTAACCTAATAAAATTAAAATATTTAATTATTTATTATGTATAAGTAATTATATATATATATATATATATATGATAGACATCGAATAAGTTACATTAAATCACAAAATATAAAATTAATCTTTTTGCCAAACTAAATTTTATATTTGGATCCGGATATACTATTCAATCCAAAAATTTGGATATCCAATTTTTCGGATCGGATACAGATCAATATTTTAGGTATTTAAAATTTTCATATCAAATCGAATCCAATATCCTAATTTGCACACCACTAAATATAAGTTAGTATATGTATAAAAAAAATTCAACTCTTTGACAATGAACGTTGTTAGGATTATTGAGGCTCCATGAAACAACCGAAATAAGCCAAGAAGGGTAAATTGACCTTTAACAAAATTGGTGTAGAAGCAAAGAAATATAAACAATTTGCACAAGAGTTTATAATGATTCGACTTCTAAACCAAATCTATATCAATTACCTTAGCTCTATACTAAGGATTTTCTAACAAATTCACTAATTTATTTTTTCTTTTTCTAGGCTCAAGATAACCTTTATAATTCCCCAGTTTTTTTTAAAGTTTAAACTAGAACTACTCTACTTTTAAAATGGATAAAAAAATGTAAATAAGAAAACCTCAAAAAAGTAGGTGTTTATAAGATTTGAGCTCACAAGAAAGAATTATAAATATATACAATTAAGCTTAAAACACTTATGTACAAGAGAAAAAGAAAAATAAAAGTGAAATGATTTTACTCTTGATCTCTATAATTTGGATAGGTTTTGTAACCATCTTAAAGTGTCACTTAATTGTTTTTATAGTGTGAAATGAGTTTTTAGTAGTTTATGACTGTTGAGGATGAATTATAGCCATTTGAAAGCTTTATTTCCTTCCATTTAAATTTTTTTGCACAGTGGTTTCGAAACCACTAGAGAGATTTTAAAATCCTTTAGGAAAAATATGACTGTTGCAGTAGGGGTTTAGAAATCAGGTAGGAGGATTTAGAAATCAAGTAGGATGGTTTAGAAACCAAGCAAGGGAGTTTCGACATCAAACATAAAGTTTTGAAACTTTGAACGTTCTACTTAAGAGGTTTTGAAACCTTCATGGAGGTTTCGAATCAAATTAATCATACAATAAACGTTGACATTATGCCAGATATAATTAATGGATAAATGATTGTATGCAACAAGTATAGTATGTAATATTTATCTATTTCATTCCCATTATATTATGAAATTATTTTTATTTAAAAATAGTTATTTATCTATTTGAATATTTTTCTAATTTTAAAATGATAAACTATACAAATAATCTCATTTGTTTTCAGTCTGACTGATTTTGATTACCGATTGAAAAATTAAACGTGTTTGATCCCTTACATTATCGGTCCGTTCGATTTAAATCCTTCGGCCGTTAACTTATGTTAACCCATTAATAGAAGTATGAGTTGATAATTTAAAAAATAAAAAAGGTAATTAAAAAATAAAATAAATTCCACCTGTCTTATTAAAAAAAATCCACCTCTCTTCCTCCTCAAGCTAAACCTATGATGTTTACGGTTGTCCTCGGAAACATATTATCGGACGATACTAATAATTCCTCCCGGTTTTTTCAACACTCTTTGGATCTAATCGCTGGTGAATTTTCATCAGCCATGGGAGCTTCCCGAACTCTTGGCCAATTACTTCAAGTCTTCAACTCGTCAGTGACAGTGATGCACGAAAAGAAGCCATCAGCGACGAAACTCCAATCCATGATGTCCCCGTTGACATCACTGAGACACAACTGATATCATTCGTTCTTTCTTTTAACAACCTTACTTATAGTATAAAGGTTCCTCACAAAATGGCGTTGCCTGGTTTCTTCAGACGAAGGGGCGGAAGTGCGGCCACAATCGTCGAAGATTCTGTTGAAAAATTGTGATAAATTCGAAACTTTGAGGCATATTTTTAAAGATAAAGATTGTGAATCGAATAATGAATTTACTGATTCATACTCTGTGAGATCTTTGCAACTATATCTCATATGCTCAAAATGGTTGAGTGATGAATCAGAAATTAATATCCAAAGTAGAATACATATGAATTGTGTTGTGAAAAGTAAAATGAAAAAAACCATATCCCATATTGGTGAAAAGTAAAATGAAAAAAACCATAACCCACTTATTAGTTAGTTATACTTGGGTTTGAATTGTGCCTTGCACACAAGTGCACTTATATAATGTGGACAATGTGAATGTTTGGATTGTTGGAGTCTATTAGGGGGTTATGTATTAAATATGTCATATATTTTTATTAATATGGTATGATTCATGTTCACATTGGAAGATGATTAATTTTCGATTTTATTCTCTCCACTCTCCGGTGGTACCTCAAGAGGCTGTCTACAAGAGTTAACGGATGATGGACTAAATCCAAACGGTTTGATAACGTAAGAGACCAAACGCATTTAATTTTTGAACCGGTGACCAAATTCAGTCAGACTGAAAATAAAGAGAATTATTCATATAATTTTACCCTTTTATAATTTGTGATGTCCTTGGTGAAAAGGACAACCAAAATATAATAAAATCATATAAATTTCCATTTACATTGATGGATCCATGGAGGTAGGGGCCTCTTGGATGGGTTAAAAATAAAGTTTGTTGACCCAAAAATGGGCCATTTTCTAAGAGAAGCTAACAAATCTTAAAGCTTGAAGGTATCCCTCCAATAAACCCTAGGCATTGCGCGGCGATGGATTCCGTCTCAACCTCCATTACCCGCCCATGAACAAACCCAAACCTCTCCTTTTCCATCTCTTTCACTTAAATCTCCCCCCTAAACCTCTCTTCTCCAACCCCATTCACCTCATGGCACTTTCCCAAACTCAAACCCCAACCACGCACTCGGATCCACCCCAAAACGACGACTCCGACGACCTCCTTTGCTCCAATCCACGGCATAACCACGAGGAACAGTGTTCTTCTTCCCTCGATGAAACGCCGTCGTCCATAAGTTCTACGGGGAAGTACCTAATCGGAGTCTCGCGGTTTGAGAGAGCATGGGCTCATTGGACCAAGCTTGGTCGTCCGAAGTTTATCGTTGCCCCCATGGTTGACAACTCGGAGCTTCCGTTTCGTATGCTTTGTAGAAAATATGGGGCTGAGGCTGCGTATACGCCCATGTTACATTCGCGTATTTTTACAGAGAACCCAAAGTACCGTTCTGAAGAATTTACTACTTGCAAGGTAATTCTCTTTTCCTTTCATTTGTTAAAAAGGATTTCTGGGCTGAACCTTTTTGTTTTCATTTTCTTGAACTTTATATGAATTAATGATTACAGGAGGACCGTCCATTATTTGTCCAATTTTGTGCAAATGATCCTGATAAATTACTTGAAGCTGCAAGGAGAGTTGAATCTTATTGTGATTATGTCGACATTAATCTGGGGTAAATTATGATCCTTCAGAATTAATATTTTTTGCTTTTAAATCGGAACTGGCTTCATTTTATAAACACAAATTAACTTTGGATATAAAAACAGAGTATCTTTAAAAGATTATAAATTTAACTTTTATGGAACAAAATATCCGATTTAGTTTTACGTTGAATACCCTTCATTGAGTTGATGTTGAATTATATATGATATTATCTTTTGCCATTTGGGGAAGTAAAGAAAACTAATATAAATATCAAAATTGTTGGATTTTGTATAAATGGCTATGTTGTTTATGTGTAGCTGTCCGCAACGGATTGCTAGACGAGGGTATTACGGAGCTTTCTTGATGGATAACCTTCCTCTTGTGAAATCTTTAGTGGAAAAACTGGCTTTGAATCTTAATGTGCCTGTTTCCTGCAAAATCAGAGTGTTCCCTAAGTTAGAGGACACACTGAAATATGCAAAGATGCTGGAAGATGCTGGTTGCTCTCTTTTAGCTGTTCACGGCCGAACAAGAGATGAGAAAGATGGGAAGAAGTTTCGAGCTGATTGGAATGCCATTAAGGCTGTTAAAAAGGAGCTTAGAATCCCAGTTCTTGCCAATGGGAATATTAGGCATATGGAAGATGTTGAAAACTGTTTGGAAGAGACAGGTGTCGATGGTGTGCTTTCAGCTGAGACCCTTCTTGAGAATCCTGCACTTTTTGCTGGCTTCCGGACAGCTGACTGGGTAGCAGGTAATGAGAAAGACTATGTAGATGGAAAGCTAGACCAGGCGGATCTTGTGGTAGAGTATTTGAAGCTTTGTGAAAAATACCCTGTCCCATGGAGGATGATTCGATCTCATGTTCACAAAATGCTAGGAGACTGGTTTAAGCTTCAGCCACAAGTTAGAGAGGATCTAAATGCTCAGTCCAGACTGACATTTGAATTTCTATACAGTCTGGTGGATCGGTTACGGGAGTTGGGTGTAAGAGTTCCACTTCATCAAAAGGATACTTCAGCAGCCAGAGACTCGGTTGAGGTCGTTGCTATTTGATTAGCCGGACCAAAGTTAATCGAATTGTAGGTGCGTAGAATATGGGAAAATCAGACTCTACCACTTGATTTGTCATTCTTCCTGAATTTGAACAACAATATTAAGTTTTTAACCAATGAGTTGGAGAAGCAGGAGGGTTTTTGAGATAAAAAGAAAGAAAACCCTAAAGATTTATTTCTGTAAAAGATTATGAATTTACTATTGTATTATCTTCCCCTCGGTGGGGTAAACCTTATATGTAAGGCATTGTTGTTTGCTAGAACATTGAAAACAGTTTATTCAATTTGCTATAGTACACCCCGAAATTTAGAAGATTTGCTGTTTTGATCATCAATTTCACTTTGATAGTCTTATCATGGACTCTTGGATCTCTTCTTTGTTTGAAATGATGCAAAAACTCCGGTTTAGTGTGTGACCTCAAACTATCCATTTCCTCTCTTTAAACTAAGAATAATACAGTAATTGTCTTGTTTTCTTTTGGTTTGTTTAGTGTTGTATCTCAAAAGTAATTTAAAGCTAAGAGAAAATTCTAACGCACCTTCAAGGAAAGCTTTCGGGTAATCGGCTCGAAAATCATTAGAAATTCTGGAATGTCATAAAATATGTGTTGGTAGCAGGTCCAGTTAGCAGTTCTGGTAAGAAAAAGTAAATGTTTAGGTTCATTGCAGAATAGAGTATAGAAAACAAGCATTGTATCTCAAAAATTATTATTATTATCATCGTCATCTGCGGGAGAAGTCTGTCAGTGTCACTGTAGAAGAAGAGTGTGAGAACTCCAGCATCATCACCGGAGAAGATAGACAACTATGAAGTATTGTGATAGGGTTTCGATTAAAGTAGAAAGGATTACAATAGAATTCAAAGGAGGAAAAAGTGTATTAAACTCGTATTTAGTAAAAACTGAATTACAAAGCATCTTTGGGTCATCAGATCATCACCGACAATGTTTTGATTCATTACTTGTTGCATGCAAGTGATGTAGTGTTTCAACTTCTACTTCGTTTGTTGCAATCATACTTGAGAATTCACAGTAGCTTCCTTTTGGCTCGGAGATGCTCTCTTAATTCCAGAGACCTTGATAAAATTAATACAAAGTCCTTTATCTTTAGGACATGATGTAATCCTCTGATGTTATGTGTGTGATATGTGTGTTGGTCTTGATCTCAAGCAGTAGATTATCTAAAAGTGTTCATTTGTCGTTCATCTTCAATCATCTTCTTTTGATACCGTCAGTAGTATGCATCAAGTGTGAATACGTCTGAAAAGGAATAGATTAAATTCATAGTAGGTTGCTTGTATATTATCAGACGATTATTTTGGGGTTCATTTGGCTGACAACATGTGTGAGAATACTATGTTTTCGGGTAATGTTACTAAATAGATTCTGCTGCAACATTGATGCGTTGAGAATTTAGCTATGTCAACTTCCATTTCTTTTCTTTGGTTGAAGATGTGTGTTAATTTGTTTTAAGCCGGTTACTGGTTCATGTTTTTATTGTCGGGCTACTGGTTGATTCACCTTGCTATATTCTTACATTGAAGTTACTGCTTGTTTATGATGATTCCTATTGCTTGTTCTGTATTGGTTGTTGTTGAAGCTGATGGCTTGAGTTTAAGTTGTCTGTTGTTAAATGACGTTGGTTCCTATCAACGTATTAGTTTTCACTTCTTCAATGTCTGTTGCTTCTTCCACAAGCTAACATGGAACTTGATGCTCAATAGTCAGACAATCGTTTTTGGTTCATGTTAGCTGACAGCATGTGTGAGAATTTGATATTTCGGGTAATACTACTAGAGAGAATTTTGCTGCAACATTCGATGGGTTGACAATTTATCAGCTTCCATTATTATTCTTTGTTTTTTTGGCGTGTATTGTTGTCGAAGATGTGTGCTAATTTGTTTCAAATCAGTTCTTGATCATATTTTTGCTATCGGACTACTGGTTGGTTCTCCTTGGTATATTCTTATACAGAAGTTGATACTTGTTTATGTTGATTCCTATTGCTCGTTTTGTATTGATTGCTGCCGAAGCTGATGGCTTGAGTTTAAGTTGATTGTAGTGGAAAGATGTCGGTTCCTATTGATGTACTAGTTTTCACTTTTTTATTGTCTGTTGCTTCTTCCACAAGTTAACATGGAACTTCATGCTTAATAGTCAAGTATCCATGACGAAAAAATATCGAGGGAGGATTTAAGAGTTTAATGGTATTGTCCTTCTTAACCAAGAGGGTTTAGGGTGTCTTCTTGTTAAAGAGAGGCTTTATATTGCACCAGGAGGTTGTTGGTTGATCGTCTTTTTTTCTCAGAAAAAGTTCGAATGAGTGTTGAAAAAGAAAGACGGTGAGAAACTGAAAACACAAAATATGGTGGCCAGCAATCGGGAACACCGGTGCATGAGCATCCTCAAGATTGATTTTAGCCTTTATTGATAAAACCAATAATTAAGCTAATCTGATTCCTCCACGACAAAGTTGTTTTCGACTTTGTTTACTAAATGCTCCCCATAAACGGCTTTCTGCTCCAGCCGAGCTGCCCCACTTTTCTCCACGAACAATTCCTGGAGCTCCACCAATGTATCAAAATTTGGCTGTTTAAATAATCATATCACCAAAGTTAACCACATCTTTTAAGGGCAAATAATTAAGCAAATGAAACAACCCCAATAACCTCATAAAAATATGCCACAGAAACTACATATTTTGCTGAATTATTGCTGACTAGATGCAAAGTTGCTTCATATAAGCCATTGGACCATATCTGCACCACTTGCACCCTCGTAATTAAGTATAGTGTAACAATAATGATTTTTAAGTTTGAATATATATTTATGATTTTGTACCTTCAACATGTCCCCGATATTGCATACAAATGTTCCTGGAATGGGAGTAGCTGGTATCCATTCCCCCGATAGTTTTTATTTATTTATCTAAAACGAGAGAAGTTTGGTCTATCCAAATTATAAAATTCGAATCGAATTATATAGTAATGTATTGACATTACCTCAAGTGCATTTATATTGTTGAGTAATCGGGTAAAGAAAACAGAAATAACACAAGTATTTTAACGAGGTTCAACAATGTGCTTACGTCCTCGGTGCCTTAGGCGGCGCTAGAATTTTATTCATTCAATACAATGTCTCATAGGTTTAGGTTACATCTCATTTTATAATAAATAAACTCTAGTACATATTTACAATAATAACATTGTACCATACCGCGGGGCCGCACCCCCAACCCACATAAACGTAACCCCCACTACGAGACTTTCTAGGTATATTTATGAGTCATACCTAACAAATCTCCACCTTGGCGAATATCATGCCCCTTAGGAAACATTCAATGTGGGTTGGGTTACCTTACTTCTTTAACAACTCGAAACACTCAACAAGTTTAAGCAATGCATTAACTTGTCTATCGTAACTGGCTTGGTGAACATATCAGTGGCATTCTCATTAGTATGTACCTTCTGAAACAAAATCTCTCCAGATGCAACAAACTCTCTGATCTTGTGAAACCTTACATCAATATGCTTAGTTCTAGCACGATATACTTGATTCTTAGCCAAGTGAATAGTACTTTGATTGTCACAAAGCAACTGAACTCCAACTTGTTGAAAACCTAACTCCTTCACTAAATCAGTAAGCCATAAAGCTTCTTTTGCAGCTTCAGTCGCTGTCATATATTCAGCTTCAGTTGTAGATAATGCCACAACAGATTGAACAGTAAACTTCCAACAAATAGGCCCTCACCAAGAGTAAAGACATACCATGTCGTAGATATTCTATTATCCAAGTCACATGCATAGTCTGAATCCACATATCCTACAATCAAAGGATTATCCCGCTGATTACCAAAAATAATTACATGTCCCACAATACCCTTTATGTATCGAAAGATCCACTTGACTGCTTCCCAATGTTGCTTACCAGGTTTAGACATGTACTTACAAACTTGACTAACAGTATAAGCTAAATTAAGAGGAGTACATACCATTGCATACATCAAGCAGCCAACAACATTAGATTACGAAACCTTTGCCATATCTCCAGCTTCCTTATATGTCTTAGGGCACTGTTCTGATGAGAGCTTAAAGTGATTTGCCAATGGAGTGCTCACTGGTTTTGCGTTGCTCATCGCAAACCTTTCTAGCATTTTCTCAACATAACCCCGTTGAGATAACCATAGTTTCCTTAAGTAAATTTCCATTCCAAGAATTTTTTTTGCAGCACCTAAATCTTTCATATCAAATTTCTGACTCAATAAAGTTTTCAAACCGATAACATCATCCATGTTCTTCGCAGCAATTAACATATCATCAACATACAGTAACATAAAAAAAAAGAACCATCATCAAGGCTCTTAACATAGACACAACAATCATATTCACATCGCTTGTAGCCAATCTTGATCATATACATCTGCTCTAAATGCAAATCCCAACTAGCCACCAATGCAACTACTGCTCGGATTGAAGTGTGTCTGACCACAGGAGAAAATATTTCATCATAATCAACTCTTTTCTACTGTGAAAAACCCTTTGCTACCAAACAAGCCTTGAACTTCCCCCCTCTTTTTCTGTTACTATTGGTTTCTTTTTATGCACCCATTTGCAACCAATCGGTTTCTTACCCTCAGGAAGGCGAACTAACTCCCATGTACGATTGTGATGCAAAGACTCTATCTCCTCAACCATGGCAACCATCCACTTGTCGTTTTCCTGACTTGTAACAGCATCATGAAAAGTAACCGGATCATAACTGCTAACTGTAAGTGCAAAAGAGACCAAGTCTTCAAAACCTAATATGTTTGGAGGCTTTATATCCGTCCATCTCACCCTGTCTCTGGCGAGACTATAATCCTGCAAATCATCCGTAGCGGAACCACCAGAAGTCGGTTGAGAAGTTTTTGTTTTCTCAACTGGAAACTGCTCGAAATCCACCACTGTCGTGTCTTTCTTCTACTGCAACATGAGTTGTTCATAAAAAACAACATCTCTACTGATCAAAATTTTCTTCGCAACTGGATCCCAAAACTTGAATCCTTTGACACCTTTCTGTAACCCAGAAAAATGAACTCCTTCGATTTTGCATCAAGTTTGGATCTCTCGTCATCAGATACATGCACATAAGCAGGACAACCAAAAATTCGTAAGTGGTCAAAAGTAACATCTTGACCAGTCCATACCTCTTCTGCAACTTTCCCAGCCAATGATGCCCTTGGCGATCTATTGATAAGATAACACGCCATGTTAACAACCTCAGCCCAGAAGTGTTTGGGAAGCCCCGCATTCTATCACAAACATCTGTCTCTTTCATTCAATGACATGTTCATCCATTTCGCAACACCATTCTATTGTGGTGTCTTGCATACTGTAAAATGCCTCTTAATCTTATGCTCCTTACAGAAGTTTAAAAACTCTGAATCTGTATACTCCGTATCATTGTCAGACCGCAAACACTTGATTTTTTGTCCTGTTTGGTTTTCTACCTCAGCTTTCCACAACTTGAACTTCTTAAAAACGTCAGACTTCTGTTTCAAAAAATACACCCAAACTTTCCGTGAAAAATCGTCAATAAAAGTAACATAATACCTAGATCCACCCAAAGACGATGTCGTGGAAGGCCCCCAAACATCAGAATGCACATAATCAAGAATCCCTTCAGTTGTGTGCTTCCCAGTCTTGAAACGAACTTTAGTTTGTTTACCAAGACACAATACTTGTAAAAATCGAGCATACAGCTTTTAACACCATGCAACAGATTTCTTTTATGTAATTAATCCATACCACGTTCACTAAGATGAGCAAGACACATATGCCATAGTTTGGTAGTATCATCACATAACTCAACAGAATGAACTCCAGCTACAAAGGTACTCCCTAACAATATGTAAATATTCCCTGCAGTCATCATTCCTTTCATCACAGTCAAAGCTCCTTTAACAATCCGAATGGTTTCCCTATCCTTATCAGCCTTAGGGATAAAACCATTCTTGTACAAAGTGCCCAAAGAAATCAAATTCTTCTTCAAATCTGGGATATGCCGAACACCACACAACGTCCGAATAGAACCATCATACATCTTAATTCTGACATTACCAATACCAACAATATTGCAACATCGATCATCACCCAAATAAATTGAACCAGAATTAACCGACCTGAACGTCGAAAACCATTCCCTATTTGGCGTGATGTGATAAGAACATCCAAAATCAAGAATCCAGGCATCCGTCAGTTGAGTCGTTGAAATAGAGAGCATATCACCCTCAGTGCAATTAGAATTGTCATCCTCAACCACATTCACAGACTTGGATGAGTCGTCACGCTTCTCATCAGTCTGCTTTTTCAACTTCGAACAATCTCGCTTCATATATCCCGCCTCCTTACACTTTTAATAGTGAATTGTCTTCTTTTCCCTAGATTTGGATCTAAAATTCCGCTTCCCAGACCCTGCCTTCTCTGGCTTCCATCCACGATCTCGATTACCCTTGACATATAAGCTATCAGCTTGAGAGTATTCCCCTACATTCTGTTTTCGCTGGTTGTGAGCCAATAAGGCTGCATTAATCTCCTTAGCTTTGATAGTCTCTTTCCCATATGTAAGAGTAGTCACTATGTGTTCGTAAGAGGAAGGCAACGAACACAACAGAATCATCGCTTTGTCTTCGTCTTCAATTTTCACATCAAGTCGAGCCAAATCAGAAACGATTTGATTGAGGACATTCACGTGTTGCGCCAAATCATGATCGTCCTGCATCTTCAGCCCATACAGCCACTGCTTTAGATACAGTTTAGTCATTAAGGATTTAGACATAAACTGACTTTCCAACTTCTTCCAAATTTCATCTGGAGACGATAGATGCATGATCTCGTCCGTCAAACATAATCGTATGGTTCCTGCCGCTCGCTGCTATAATTCTTCCCAATCTTCTTCCTCCATCGACGCTGGCTTTGTCTTCACCCTTGTTTGTCATAATCCGAAGTTACCCTGACCATCGAATTTCGTAACTTCGAATTTTTCTCCTGACATCTGATACCAATTGTTGAGTAATCAGGTAAAGGAAACAGAAAGAACATAAGAATTTTAACGAGGTTCGGCAATATGCTTACGTCATCGGTGCCTTAGGCGGCGCTAGAATTTTATTTATTCAATTCAATGTCTCATAGTTTTAGGTTACATCTCCTTTTATAATAAATAAACTCTAGTACATATTTATAATAATAACCATGTACCATACCGCATGTAACATCCCAAACTATGGGTTATTGAATAAATTGTAAAATTTTAGAATTTAGTGATTAAAGTGAAAAAGTTGAAAGGTTCAATGATTTATTTGAAAGTATTTCCTGAAAGTTTTTAGTAATTATCAAAGGAACTAAAGGGCAAAATGGTCATTGAATAAATGAAATAATAAAATAATAATTAATAGATATTATAATACCCATGTGGAGCATATGTTTTGGGAAATCAATTCCATATTACTCTTCTCTCTTCTATCTTCATCTTCTTCTCTTATCCACGTGAAAGCTCAAGCAAAGGTAAGATTTATTTGTTGTTGATTATTAGCTAAAATTTAAGTTGGGTTTTGATCATTAGATTGTAACTAAGCTTAAGGAAAGCTTAAGTTATCTTAGAATCAAAAGATAAAGGAGTTAGGGAAGATTAAAGATTTTGAGTTTTTGAATGAAATCTTGGAATAGAGTTTATAATTAGAAGTGGAAGTTAAATTTGACTTGTCATAAGTGAAATTAAGAAGTATGAAGTGTTAGAATTAAATTTAGAACATGTTGAAAATTGAGTATGATTTTTGAAGTTCATAAAGAGGAAAAGATTTTGAGGTTTGAGATGTGATAAATGAGTAGAAATTAGTTTAAGTATGTATATTTGAGTTAAGAATATGAAAGGGAATGAAACATGAAGAATTGAAGTTGAAATAGTGAATTTTCGTATATGAACAGTAATTTTTGGGTAAAAATTTACAGATTATG